TTTTTTTTGGTGTAATGCCCTTTAGGGTATCCACTTTCATACGATCGACGCTAAAAGTCGTTACCCTAAAAATTGTTGCACCAAATCAACTCAGACAGTGTAAGGCTCCTCGTTATAACTGATTGCTCCTGACTCGAATACTCCATGTCTATTTTGACATTACAATCTTGTTACTAGGTGTAATGGTATTGTGACATCTATGCTTTAGGTAACAATTATTGACGATGCGTACTCGTGGGTTCCATGTATTCCCCTTGTCATTGAAGATGAACATCGTGATTGTGAACAACTGTTCATTTATAATTTTCCTGATGGACAAGGCGAACATTATACCAAGAAAGTGTTTACAATCGGTAGCAAAATGCATATTATAAATCCATACCTACAAATAGGTGGAAATGATATGAAGTCTTATATTCGTATTGACGATTTCTTATCGATTATCATGCAAGATGAATCTGAGAGAGTGGTTAATATGTGTCGTTGTTGTGGCGAACCAAATGCACGACATGTTTGTAGTAGATGTGATAAAGCACGTTACTGTTCCAAAGAATGCCAAACAATGGATTGGAAAACTTATAATCATAAACTTATTTGTAAAAAACAGTGAAAATTTCATCTAAACGTATACAGCATTTTTATAAGTTTAGTGAGTTTTTTAAAATTATTTTGTTTAACAATATAAGACAATAAACAATAATCTATATCAATTTTCGGGGACCGGATTTTAGCATGGGGTGAGGGTGTGCACTCTAAAAAATATAGATAATCTCGGAAGCTGACGAAAAAAGGTTTTCGAGGATTCAGACACCGATTTTTTACTCTCGGATACCCTTTCATGGATTTCCGAACCCTCGAAAACCTTTATTCTTCGGTTTTTGAGAATATCTATTTTTTTAGAGTGTGGTGAATGCTTGTCTTTTGTTCATCCACCCACTCTAGCCACACCCACACCATTCTGAAGGCTCCGGAATCCTTTTTGATTTCCCGGATCGTTATTATCGGATACCCTTTAGGAGTTTCCAATGGCTAGGAAATTCTTGAAATGGTATCCGATGATAAGAAATTGGTTTCCGAACACGCAGAAATTTTTTTTCCTCGATTTCTAAGCGTACCTTTTTCTTGAAGTGGACCATTACCATTATTATAGATAATAAATATTCAAGAGAATTTATTTATTTCAAACCACATTTATACATTTTAGATTTAAAGCTTTTTTTATTTCATAAAATTTTGTCTTACTGTCAGTCGATTAAGAATAATAAGCGACGAAGATTAAATTGTATGATGAAAATGATGAAGCTTTACAAAAGCGTCGGATCAACTTTCGAATTCCTGCAGTAAATTCAGTTCTGTAGATTTTTGCTGGTAAAACGAAGACTATGAATGTCGATATTGATGGTAGAAATGAAACATAATAGCCAATAAGATACCACCAAGGCTCACGTGATGATCTCATGCATTCTTTGGTAAATGAAATGATTACATGTGGCAGAGTCAATAGTACCAGAGCAGAAGACGCAATCAAAAGATGTTTATGTCGACCTATTTCTTTTAGTAAATGTTCTTTGTATGTTAGTGCAGATTGCTAGGTAGAACGCCGTCGAGCTACTTTTATAATAATAACAATAGTAGAAATGAAATTGATCGAGAGTGGAACGAGAAAATGAAAGAGAGTAAGAAATCTATCATAAATATTGACATTCGATGAATATCGAGCGAAGCACCAAATTCTATCTTCATCAATATCAAAATCATTAATAACTTGACGATGAATTGGATCATGAATATATGTTAATATTATGAAAAGAAACATACCAAAAATGAATCACTTAGCTAATTTTTTATTCCTATTGATGTTGAAATTGGTATTCTGAATGACACTAACCATTCTTTCAAAAGCTACTACCCATGTAAAAAAATAAGACTGAAAAATCAAGAGATCCTTGATTTCAAGCGATGTCAAGAGTAATTAATCGATGAAAACCTAGAAAATTAGATTTTTTTTTGGATTAAATTGAAGATTATAACCGATTTCTTTGTTTAATTGATTCGGAATCAATCAATTTTCTCCGATTATCATCAATTTCCTTTATAGGAATTGAATAAAATCAATTATCACGTATTATAATCTAACAAAATCGATTAAGTTTTCAAACTGATTATAATCTACTAGAATCGACTAGACTTTCAAATCGATAATAATTATTAATCTCAGAACCACCTATAGCCAACCAATACTGATTATAATCGATCACAACCGATTAGGTTCTTTATTTTCTAACATGTTCATCTCTTATCATTGTCTGTATGAGTAGGTAAATTAAGACTATTATGAGGGTAGCAGAATTCAAGTGGAAAGAAATGAATAATAAACTATTCAGTCAAGTTGAGAAAGGCGATGACGAACAAACTCAGTGTTGGTTATTACTTAAAAACGATTTTTGGATTAATAGCTATCTTTCATGTAGTATTTTACAAATACAGTGAGCAAAAAAGTTTAATTATTTTATCATGAAAGGCATGTGTCTTCATAATTAAAAACAACAGTCTATGATAACAAAACTTATTAGGCAACTTTAGTTTCATTACTTTTCACATTCAAAGCGAATACTGATTTAATGTAAAAGGAGGTTTTAACTAGGTTTAGAAATTAAAATTAAAACGAGTTTTCATGTATGCTTTTGAACAAATATTCAACTTCAACGTACAGAAAAAATAATGAAAAAACAAGGACGGTTCTTATTCCTTAATCTCTCTATTAATTAAGTTAGTATAAAGAACTCATAAGAGAGAATGAAGGAAAAAATTGATAAGTCATTAAGCCACATTTTCTCTATGCTTGGTTTGAGTACATTGTGTTT